AACTGCTAATTATTCTGCACACTGCATACATAGAAATAGCAGTTGCAACTCTCAAGAGCCAAGCAGATCCATAACAGGTGTGAAAAAATGACGTAATGCGACGTAAACACTTTATATATTTTATATACACCGCAAATGTGGCTATTCTACAGTTTTGTTTTATATACATACTAAGAGTGTGTCTATAGTTTGGCAGCTTCGATTTCCCACCCGAATCATTGCATGATAATAAATAGCACAAGGGTGGAGCTAGATTGGAGAATGGATGCCAGAAGTTCCAAGCATTGTGAGAAGTAAATTGTGCTTAAATTCTTGCTTAATTGATCTAATTAGCAGGCTCCTTCCTAATTTTCATTTGTAGTTTCATTTTTTATTATTTTTTTGCACTTAAGTGAGGTAAGACAATAATCAACCACAATCTTCCCTCTCTCAAGTAGCTTTTGGATTCATTTTAGCATTTCGTAAACTGGTTTACTTCAATGAAACTGATTACTGATACAAATCTTCATCATTCAAAAGAACTTCCCAGAAGTCCCTACATGGCATTTTTCCTGTCTTAAGTTTTGTTTAATATCTACTAACACTTCATTTTGATGGTCGCTCAACAGACGTCCTACTGACTATAAGTTTGAAACGTTCATGTCGTTGAATAAGATGAAACCCTAACCTAACAATATACAAATGCTCTAATGAGAGTTAGTTGGCATGTAGTTGCAAAGTTACTTACAGTTAGTAGAATGTCTAAAGTGGACTATCAAAATAAAGTGTAACCCAAATCATTAAGAGTAACATTGTACCAGAAGGGACACTGAGTGTTTTTTTGTGTTAGTGTATGTCATCTCCAGTGTGTGTGTGTGTGTGTGTGTGTTTCAGACAGATGTCTTCTCCAGTGTGTGTGTGTGTGTGTGTGTGTTTCAGACAGACAGGATGAGCAGGGTCACCTGTTCTCAGTCTCACAGAGTTAGCGCAGCTGTCTAACCCAGGCATGCTGTGGTGATCTGACAGTAATCCGGAGCCACTGCAGAGCCGAGTGTGTGTTACATTATCTGTCTTAATCCGGTAATCCGCGGACACACGGCTAATCTCAATCCCACCCCCACACACACCTTCCTCACTAATCACTCTAATGATGGACCCCCGGCAACCTATCCCAGCAGCACCGCCTCTCCCGCCCCTGATTGACACACCTTCCCTCTCTCTGTGTATCCACACACACACACACACACACACACACACACACACACACACACTCCTCCCAGGCAGCTCTCGTTAATGGAATTCACAGCCCAGGGCGAAACACAAAGCAAACATATGTTCAGCAAATATGTGTGTTTTGGTCTCTGTGTCACTGTAACTGTGAATGTTTAATAGAGTCGCTGGCATGTGTAAGTCTTTGATGTGATTGGTGTGATTTTTAAAAACCCTCGACAAAGACACACACCTCTCATCCACTGTCTGGCCTGAAACTGAAAGCTCAGCCAAACCATAAGCTGATATGACAGGACACAAGAATGAGAGAGAGAGAGAGAGAGAGAAGCAGGTACTTCTGGTATTAAAGGAATAGTTTAGCCAGAAAATTAAGATTCTGTCATCATTTATGTACTTACAAACCTGCATGACTTTATTTTAAAAAAACAAAACAAAAAAAAGACATTTAGCAGAATGCGTGTGCTGCTCATTCATGTCTTGAACTTTAAAACGCACCATAAAGTAGTTCATATGACTTGTGATCCATACTAAAGCTTTGTGAAAATAGGTCATATTCACTAAAAATCTTTTTTTCTGTAGCTTTCAAATCTCCTACACCTCTTTTGAAAAAGAAGTCCACCTAATTGTATAAAACGTATAGTTCTTAAGTGTGTACTTCTTTAAAAAAAAACAGTACTGGAAAATAATATAAAGGAAATAAAAGGCTAATTAAGTATACTTTAAAAGAGTTCACTTTCATGTTTCTTAACACACTTAAGTTTACTTATAAAAGTGCATTTTGTAATCATGTCTAATTAAAAGTTTTACGTTGAAGTACATTTAAAAAACATTTTGTCAAGCTTTAAAGAAGTTCACCTATTTTTGATGTTTTAACATTGATTATAATTTTACCTGTATTGTTATTCAATATTATATTTAAAATTAATACATTTTCAATGTACTAAACTACACCTTTATCATTACAAATGTGTAATGGCAAATATATTTAAATACATCATAACAGAATTGAAATTCAACTATATTTTAGTTTATCATAAATGCTTCAGCAGCACACTTTAAAAAATTTTCAAAGACACTAGAAGTAATTATGAAATTGCATACAAGTCTTACTTAAGTGGGTGAAAAAAGAATTTCAGCTAACTGCACTTAATATAAATTTCAACTATAAGACATTTTCCTGTCATTCATTCAGTTCACACTTAGCATAGTATATTCGGTTACACTTTATTTTAAGGTGTCATTGTTACAGATTAATTATACATTTAAGTACTGAGTAATATTAATTAACTACATGTACTTACTATATGGTTAAGGTTACTTGCACATAATTATGCATAATGTATTGTTATTATAATAGTAAGCACATGTAACGTGTACCTTAAAATAAAGTGTTACCGTAAATTCTTTTAAAGTACGTTATTTCCACAATAAATACAGTTTTGAAAACTATGCTAGAGTGTACTTCTTTTTCACAAGGGATTCTTCTGTGTATTCAAACTTGGCATAAAGACGTGTTGTGCAGGATTTGATTTCAGTGATGCCTTATCTCATGTGTCATGTCACAGATTCAATTCTGAAGGTGTTGAAGTACTTTTTACTTTGGTATTTTTGTCCTTGACAACTGGTCACACTTTCATTTTATGGGGAAAAAAAGGAGTTAAGTTGTTCTAAAAGTCCATTTGGAATAACAACAGGGAGAGTAAATGTTGGGTAATTTGTGTGTCTGTGTTTTTGTTCATACGGGACTATGGGAATGTTGCGGCAGCAGACACACACACACACATGTGTGTATATATGTGTGTGTGTGTGGACTAACCCTGCTTGCTCAGTGCCGGTCGCTCCTGCAGCCCGTCTCTCTCTCTGCTGTCACTCTGTTTGTCTGTCTTCAGCACAGACGCGTCACCGGAGCTGTCCTCTCTGCTGACAGAGACAACCTGAAAAGAAATGCACACACATACCCACGTCAACAGAAAACACATCAGGAAACAAAGCGAACAAATACAAACAAGCGCATCTTAATGAATAAAACAGCAGTGGGTCTTTTGTGTGAAATAATTGAAGTGATTTAATAAGAGCAGGCTGTTTTGGAGCATCCATTAACACACAGTGTTTGGCAACAGTAAGTGCTAATGCACTGGTACCAGAGCTCTCCCTCTCTTTCTCTCTCGTCACGCTCGCTTCATTGTAATGCAGGAAATAACGCAGGCCGTCCTCGCAGACTTCCACACACATTTAATTTTATCTTTGAATAAAAGAGCTATAGGAAAGAATTAATCTGCTTAACATTTCTAAGTACACCCTCCAAAGGAGAGGGCTGTTTTAATCTTACATATGCTCAGCAGAGTTACTGGCAAAAAACTGTACGTTTTCTTCATCTCATCCTTTCAACATCAAATGGCGAGCAGCAAAAATTGGATCAGACTTCAAAGCTCAGCGATGTGCTCCCAGTCACAGAGTGGCTCTACTATTTCACATATTGAATTCGAGTAGGATATCAAAGTCCTAGTAAAGAACCTCAGGTCTTTACAGGAAAAAAGGGGCTCCAACATCTGTAGAGAGAGCAGCGAAAAGACAAATCACCTCAGGGAGAAGTCAGCGTTTACTCTCTACCATGCTTTTCCAGCCTTTTGATTCACTCCTTCTCTCTCTACCTCCTTGGGTTCCTCGCTTTCTCTCTCTCTCTCAGCGGAGAAGTGAATTCTCTGCGAGGGAACTGTCTCTTTTGTCTCAAGGACTGTGCTGTTTGATCTGAGGGTTGCGCTGTGTAATATTCACCGCAGTTAGGTGACAGCAGAGTTCACATTAGCATGAGCCGTATCAGACGTGCAATTAAAGACTAGGTCGTTCAAAAAGGAAAATTCTGTCAATGTTTACTCAGTTGTTTCAAACCTGTGTATTTTGAGGACGATCATGCTGCATTATTCTATACTATAAAGGCATAAAGTGACCAAGGGCAAAAGGACAGGAAGCACCATAAAAGCAGGGGAAACCTTTCTGGCGCAGTTCTGCAAACCGTCTCTTTTGTGTTTAAAACACTTTCAGGAATGATCATATCTGACCTTCTCATCTGGGAGGGGACTGGTGGAGGATCTTCTTTCAGGCGTGGGTTGTCTGAGGAGAAACGTAATCAGAAAACAATCAGAATTCCCCACAAACTGCAAGTTCAGGATTTCCGTTATTCCAAGAACACAATTTAGTTTATTACGAGAGGATGCCATTGATAGCAGATGACTGCATTACTTATATTGTGAGTATTCTGGTTTACCTCACTCTCTCTTTCAAACCATTGTAAACATCTGCTCAAAAAACAATGTGTGGCATTGAGTGGCCTATGAAGTCTAGTCTGATTCTATGAAGAGCGGACCAGAAGAAAGGTCCAGAACACTCAGAGGAAAAGCACATGTTCTCCAGCACCAGGTCCAGCTGCTTCCTTCCATTACGCTACATAGGTCCTTGTGTATTTATTCTGTTATTCCATTGCATTATTCTTATTTCACATGTTGTAGATTTTCATTATATATGGTGTTGTTCATTAAAATGCTGTGTATATCAGTTTCTGAGCAAAAAATTTTTTTTTCTCATATTTCAGAAGCAATCTCAACAATGCTTTACACTGTTCTCAGATTTGCCAAGACAAATCTTTCTTTCTTTCTTTCTTTCTTTCTGATGTTCTCTGTGAGCATCAGTCCAAACTCAGGCCAGCAGAGAGAAAATGTATCATGTATGTATCAGTCTTTGCTTTCATCTTTCTCTGCTGAAGTCCACACTGCCAAATCTTCATATTTCCACAACAAGATCAACAGCGCTCCAGACACACGTAACAGCTGATGATTTTGCCACATTCTTCACAGACAAAACTAGAACAATCAGTAATTCCTCAGCTCCACACACACAGGACCTCAAACCAACCACATTCACGCCTAAACTCCCCTCTTCTCCTTCTTTCCCCTCACTGAGGCAGAAGTATCCAAACTTCTCCTCTCCAGCCATCCTACAACATGCCCACTAGACCCAATCCCCTCACACTTCTCCACTCAATCTCTCATACACTCTTACACTGAAAAAAATGATTAATTGAATTTACAAATTTTTTTTAAGGTAAGTGGTTGCAATCAATTTATTTTAGCTACATTTAAATAAACACATTTATTTGACTAATTTAGTAGCATTTTTTTCAGTGTACCAGCACTCACACACATCATCAACACATCTCTCCTCACAGGCACCTTCCCCACTGCATTCAAGCAGGCTTGGGTAACCCTACTGCTAAAAAAACCTACACTAAACACGTCACTTATAGATAGCTACAGACCTGTCTCTATTCTTCCATTCATAGCAAAAATACTCGAATGAGCTGGTTTTAACCAGGTATCATTATTTATTTCACAGAACAACCAACTGGATGCTAACCAGTCAGGTTTCAGGAGTGGCCATTCAACTGAGACTGCGCTACTGTCAGTCACTGAAGCCCTGTGGATTGAAAAAGCTGATTCCAAATCATCAGTTCTTGTTTTGCTGGATCTATCTGCTGCTTTTGACACTGAATCATCAGATCCTACTGTAGGTCTTTCAGGGTGGCCTGGGGTGGGGGGGTATCCAAAGCACATCAACTGGTCACTGGTGTTCCTCAGGGATCAGTTCTTGGACCCGTCCTCTTCTCCATATACACTATATCACTGGGTCCCATCATACAGGCACATGGCTTCTCCTACCACTGCTATGCTGATGACACACAGCTCTATCTCTCATTTCAACCAGATGATCCAACGGTAGCTGCACGGATCTCAGGCTGCCTGGTGGACAGTGTTGGGCAAGTTACTCTGAAAATGTAATCAAATGACTGATTACTGATTACTCCTTTTAAAAGTAATCGCGTTACTGTTCTGATTACTTTATTTCAAAAGTAATTAGTAATTAGTTGCACTACTAGTTATGTTCCTTTTTTTCTCCATGAAATTTATGAAATCCCATTTATGAAAACATTCACAGAAGACTGTTATTTTTAACTAAAGCAAGCGGCTGCTGCGTGCATGGTTTGGCAGAATGCCAGCAAACAGCGCTGCATATATAATCTCTAAAAGACATCTTTCATAATGTCTACAATTCGTGTGTTATAATGAGAGGATTTGTGAGCACGCAAATTTCAGCACTGTATTGCTCAACGTTGCAAACACGTGTTATAGCCTAAATAGAAACTCTGCATACGCTTGCACCTGTTAATAGAGACCTCGGCTTGTAACTATACTCTAATTACTATTTTGAAAATTATAATGTGTTAAATTACGTTACAAAAAATTTAATCAAATTACAGTAACGCGTTACTAAGTAATGCGTTACTGCCCAACACTGCTGGAGGACATCTCGGCATGGATGAAAGAACATCACCTACAGCTCAATCTGGCAAAGACTGAGTTTCTTGTCTTCCCTGCTACTCCAACTCTACAGCATGATTTCACCATCCAGTTAGGTTCGTCAACAATTACCCCATCAACTTCGGTCAGAAATCTTGGTGTAATCTTTGATGACCAGCTAACTTTCAAAGACCACATTGCAAAAACTGCTCGATCTTGCAGGTTTGCATTGCACAACATCAGAAAGATCAGTCCCTTTCTAATGGAGCATGCTGCACAACTTCTTGTCCAGGCCTTTGTCATTTCTAGGCTGGACTATTGCAATGCTCTTCTAGCTGGACTTCCATCAAGCACAATCAAACCTCTACAAATGATTCAGAATGCAGCATCACAGCAAATATTTGTGTCAGGCCATAAGTCTCCTGAGCAACACAAAATATTAATGTCAATATCAATGGCATCATCATCCAGCTTGTCACAGTCACCAACCCTGACATAACTGTTTAGTGCAGTAACTCTGATGAACATGTATGATTTAAAGGCACACACACACACACACACCTGCTCCTGTCAGCTAATGAGCATGTAGGTAAGTTTATGAACTTTACAAGGGAAAATTGGGCCAGTTGATGTCAAAATAAATCTATAACGCTTCTCTCCAGCCCTGATGAAACAGAATAGCAAAGTGTGAGGTTTGAAGATTCACCACTGAGACTTCTGATATAAACAAGCATTGAGAATCCCCTCTGATAAGCCAACTGGCTGGAGGATACACACACACACACACACACATAAACATATACACGCACCCAAAACACTCTCAGACTCTCGGATTAAAACTTTTTTTTTTTTTTAACGGGTTATGATATGATTGTCAGCAATCTCTCTGCTGCATAGGTCTAAAAAATAATATAAATCTGTACTATAAATCACTAAACGTAACCAATAGCTCAGAGAGCTCGTTTTAATTAATTAGGAATGTAAATTAGGATTCATATTCTTTTAAACAGGCAAACATTTCAAAATATGTTTCAAAAAGTGTCTAGCGCACATCCTTTTACACCTTGAGCTGTGGAGGGCAATGCATGATTGAGTGCAGTTTGTGTCATTTCTGAACAAACCAAACCAAACAAAGACAAGAGAAGACAAACAAAACAAAACCAACAAAAACAAAACAAAACTAATAATTTTTTTTGTTGTTGTTGGTCAAATTAAATCATTTTGCACTGTCAACATTTCTTGCATTTTTTTTTTTATAATGAGCTGATAGTTATAGATGAGTTGATCAGCATTTTGTTGTACACTGACTTGCATTCAGGACTGCAACATAATCTGTCAGTAACAGAACCTGCTGTCAAAGGTTAAAGACGATTATCTACTAGTGTTTATTCACAGAGTGCATGTGTATGCGAGTGGATAGTCACTCAAGAGTTGTGACTTAAGGAAGGTGAATACAATGCTCGCACACAACATCACTGGGACAGGCCGTAGGGGACCTAGTGTATAGAACAAACAGACACCTAAACACACAATCATGCAAAAATACACTATGATAACATACAAAGGAAACAAACACAATGAACACACCCTCACTCACCCAGTCCATTGTCGACTCTGTCTGTAGTCTTTCCTGACTCTGTAGCCTCTGTATGCTGCAACACATATTCACACGATCATACAATGAATAAAATAACACAAATCACAATTTACTAGCTTTATCATCTACAAGGAGAGAATTATAAATATGACTGCTTAGAAATGTAACAGCACACCAATTGAGGAATCTGTAGCACAAAACGTGCTCTAAAGATTAACACACAGAGTGGGTTTGTCCAAATCACGAACACTACGTTTGAGCAATGATAATGGTGATGTTTGCAAACTCCATTAATAAAATAATCCCACAAATTAGTATGACTAATAGCAAATTTTTTGACAGATTAATGACAAAATTTTCATTTTTGGGTGAACTATCCCTTTAAGTGCATCAGTTAAACTTTTAAGAGTATGATGGTTTATAACACATGATGAACAGACACCATGTCATATTCACTCAATTTATAAAGTCTCATATTGACGCTGTTTATTTAAAATCTGCACAGTATCTTACTACATCTTACTTTTACTGTAAAGTGAGAAATGCAAAGTCTTCTTGAAAAAATCCAAAAGGCTTTACAATGTGGTAATTATATTTGTACTGTAAGTCATCTTTATCTGTGTTTTTTTTTAGTAGCCATAAGTTATCATGAATGTGCTGTATGACACATTTGCACATGTATTGTAAATTCAACAAAACCATATTGCACTGATCCAGATTTAAATGCATTACCCGTGAGCTTAAAGTAGCTCACAGTGAAGTAACAACCACTCCAAACCACTCATAAGATGTAGGGAGATACTGACAATGACAATTTAAGTGACTTATAATACATAATAACTATAGGAACTATAATACATTATAACTTAAGTGGATATAACATGGTGTTTATAATGTGTTATAAAATTATCACACTCCTAAAAATTATAACTACTAATACGTAAGTATTATAATGTATTATAACTATTGTTACGATTAATCATTTGACAATAAAACTAATTATAAGGTGTTTTTATAAGGCAATGGATGCATTATAATGCCCCAAAAATGAATTCAATTAAATAAATTCTGTCATCAATTATTCCTCTCATGCCTTTCCAAACTTGTATGAGTTTCTTTCTTCTATGGAACACAAAACAAGATATTCTGAAACATGTTATAGTTCCATTGACGTCCACATTATTAAAAAAAAAAAAAAAAGAAACCTGAAACTGTTTGGTTAGTGACATTCTTCAAAATATCTTCATTCTTTTCTGAATACTGGTTTAAAATGCATACAGGTCTGGAATGACATGAAGTGAGTCAATGATGTTTTGACTACCATCATAAAACATAATAAATACAGGCCTTATAAAATCTTTCATATAGTTGCCATTTACTGTAGTTTTGCTTGTGTAAGATAAACCTCAAAACACAATGCTCCCCAGTAATTTCCAATAGATATCTTATACGGATAAAAAAACAATTCCCCTACTGAAAGCCGCTGTTTAATTTGCATACTGTGCTCAGCATATTCTCAGCCTATGGATCTCAACCGTTTGAAAGACGAGTGTTTGTTTTAGAAATGCTAATGCGGCCCACCTCAAAGTGGATGCACACACCTCTACACGGCTCTGAACATGTGGCCAAACACCGCGCCACCTGCACCAGCACACACACTGCGAGCACAGAGCCAGAGAGAGAGACGTCTGCCAAAAAGGGGAATTGAAGTACTCCAGAAGAGGAGAGGAGAACAATAGCACCACTCCTCCCTCTCCTTCCTCCCCCTGGACCCCTGCCTCCGCCCCTCCCTCCTCACACCCTCAGAAGACGCGCCCCGAGAAAGTTAATACACCCGCTTTGATCTCCGTCAGGCCACACAGAGTAAGAATTCATTTACATTTCAGATGAAAAGAGTGACAGTATAAAAAGCCATCTTGTTTCTGGTATGTGAGAGTCTGTAATGGGCCGGGAATGTGAGAGGGGAAGTGGCAGGGAGCCCCCATCCCTCTCTCTATCGCTCTCTCTCTCTCTCTCTCTCCGCTCCTGCACTGGGAAACAGATGAAAGCAACGAGAGAAGCTCAAAATGCAGCATTCTACTGAAACATGGGGACCAAATGCTGCGACCCAAACTTGCAAAAGAGACGCTGGCTTCACGCATTATTAATTTAGCACCACTGGTTCGTGGGATTGTTTGTTGAGATCAAAAAAGGTACTTTGTGAGAATGCTGGAGTTTATGATTGGAAGAAAAATTAAAAAATGCAAGTTTGGAGAGGTTTGGAAAAGACAGAAAGAAAGAGCTTTTTCGTTCTTATTTTTCCAAATGGTCGAGTCAACTTGATAATTATATTTGGTTTATGTTTAATTACACTAACATTCAAAAGTTTGGGGGCAGTATGATTTTTTAATGTTTCCGAAATAATCTATATATAATCTATATACTCACCAAGGCTGCATTTATTTGATCAAAACTGTAATAAAGACAGCAATTTAATTAAATATGAATTAATTCATATTTAATTAATACATTTCATTAACTAAATAACTGACAGTTAAAATAACTGACTTCTGTTTGAATATATATTTTAAAATGTAATTTATTCATGTAATGGCAAAGCTGAATTTTCAGCATCATTAGGCTACTCCAGTCTTCACAAGAAACATTTCTGAAAACAGTTGGACAGTTCAATATTTTTTATGGAAACTGCGATACATTTTGAATTTTTTTTTTGGTTTATTAATAGAAAGTTCAAAAGAACAGAATTTATTTGACAGATATTTGAAATATTTTGTAACATTATGAATGTTCACTGTCACTTTTGATCAATTGAATGCACTCTTGCAAAATAAAAATTAATTTCTGGAAAAAAAAAAAAAATTCTGAAAAAAAAAATTAATAAATAAAAATATTACTAAAAATATTACAGACCCAAATGTTTGAATGGTGTCTAATGGGTTATGTATCGTTTTTGTATAATATTAAATATTAATAATATAAATATTTAAATATTCTGTGTCTTTTGAGTCAAAAACAATTATTTATTTTTATTTTGCAGTGTTGTTCTTGTTTGATTTTCATAATTTATATTATACTTTATTCTGCACTTTTCCCTTGTTTGCAGTTCAGATGCAATAGCATTACAAATGAGTGTTGTTTGTCATGCCAATAAATCACACTACACTGAAATTGAGAGACACAGAGAGAAAAAAATAAAGAAAATGAAAGTAAAGAGTAGAATTTCTCCAGGGAATGTTTCCACAGTATTGTGACATTAGTTTTATTTGAGTTGCACAGAGCGTTCAGAGATGTGTACCTGACTGGATCCGTACAGCAGCCTGCTCATGCTCTCTCTTTATCTGCTTCAGATTCTGACGGGCCACATAACCCCTCCAGGCTACACAGAGACACAAAGAGAGACATGAGGGGATTAAAACACAAAATACTAGTTTACAATTTCTAGTATTCATCACAGCAGTGTAATACAAACGGAGATCAACAATAATTATTTTTTTTCAACTAGTATTACAGATTTTTTCTCATTCTCACAACATTCTCACTGGATAAACAGTCACAAATATAAACTATGTTTATTTTTGGGGTCAGTAAAATTCTAATTTAAAAGAAATTAATAATTGTATTCAGCATTAGAGTAATCAAGAGTGACAGTAAAGACATTTTTTAAAATATTTATATTTCAAATAAATGATGCTCTGTCATGACAACTCTCGGAGGGATTGGCATGGTAATAATGTACATGACAATGTTAATGTATTTGGTCTTGGCGGAATAGATCTGCTACACTGCTGCGGCAGAGCAAGTACTGAGACTTGCTACTGTCAATACATCCACAACATGCTGCTGTGAGCATGTAAGAAATATTGCTGCTGCAAATATAACACATGAAATAACCCCCATATAGCATACTTGAATCGCCTCGTAGCAGATCTATACAGGTGGAGCTGGGGAAGGTGGAGGGTTTCTGAAGCAAGCTGCAACTGCTACGGCAAGTACTAGTCATATATTTTAATGTTGAGTAGCGAGCTCATTGGCTACCGATACAGGAGAGAACCAATTAGCTGAGCCATGTGATAAAGATGTCATTAGGTCAGATTGAGTTAGACCTATCAGGCTGCGCCATCTAGAGTTTCATGCCAGAACTCTGTATTTATTTTAAACTTTCTAACGATGAAAGAACCCCGTTTCCATAAAAATATTAAGCAGCACAACTGATTTCAACATTAGAATTTTCTTGAGCATCAGCATATTAGAATGATTTCTGAAGATCATGTGACACTGAAGACTGGAGTAATGATACTGAAAATTCAGCTTTGCATCACAGGAATAAATCACATTTGAAAATGTATTACATTAGAAAACAGTTATTTGATTTTTTTTTTACCAAAATAAATGCAGCTTCTGTGAGCAAAAACATAAAAAGTTTTACCAACCCCAAAATTCTGAACAACAGTCTATATAAAGCGAGTTGTTAAATTATAAACACTATTTTGCTGTAAAATGACATGCAGTATAGTGCAGCCCATTTTTGTTTATAGATGTCATTAGGTCAGATTGAGTTAGACCTATCAGGCTGCGCCATCTAGAGTTTCATGCCAGAACTCTGTATTTATTTTAAACTTTCTAATGATGAAATAACCCTGTTTCCATAAAAATATTAAGCAGCACAACTGATTTCAACATTAGAATTTTCTTGAGCATCAGCATATTAGAATGATTTCTGAAGATCATGTGAAACTGAAGACTGGAGTAATGATACTGAAAATTCAGCTTTGCATCACAGGAATAAATCACATTTGAAAATGTATTACATTAGAAAACAGTTATTTGATTTTTTTTTTTTTACCAAAATAAATGCAGCTTCTACGAGCAAAAACATAAAAAGTTTTACCAACCCCAAAATTCTGAACAACAGTCTATATAAAGCGAGTTGTTAAATTATAAACACTATTTTGCTGTAAAATGACATGCAGTATAGTGCAGCCCATTTTTGTTTATAATTTTCCATCCATTCTAACCATATTTTGTCCTCTTTTACATTAGACAGATATATAACGTCTAGGTTACTTGTGTAACCCTCGTTCCCTGAAGAGGTGGCAGTGAACGACTGCCAGGGAAAGACACGGGCTTACCGTACCGTGGAATAATACACAAGTGGGATCACCCGAAGGGGGAATCACTACACACGGGCACCTAGCCCAGCACAAGGGCTGACCTTGGGCATGCACACGAGTGCTGAGCCTGGCGTCTGGCGCTCCGCCATGCCTGACCGCCGAGGGTGCGGGAGGAACTCCACCAGGGTTCGCCATGGGGAACTGATTGAGGAGCACAAATGCGCACGTATCCGGTCCGTAGAGGGGAATGGCGCAGAAAGCGTGATCGACACCGAGCAGGTCCAGTGTTACTGCCTACCTGAGGCGAGTACACGAGAGGACACGGGCTCTACACGGAGATTATAGAATCTCGCAAACGTGTTAGGCGTCGCCCAGCCGGCAGCTCTACAGATGTCTGCTATCGAGGCGCCCGCCCCGCCATGCCTGACCGCCGAGGGTGCGGGAGGAACTCCACCAGGGTTCGCCATGGGGAACTGATTGAGGAGCACAAATGCACACGTATCCGGTCCGTAGAGGGGAATGGCGCAGAAAGCGGGATCGACACCGAGCAGGTCCAGTGTTACTGCCTACCTGAGGCGAGAACACGAGAGGACACGGGCTC